CAAAAAGGTGACATGCAAATGTGATGCATGCTATCATGTAATAAGCACCCACAGGCTACATGCATGACCACACACACCAGCCACTAACACTTGCTAATATATACACGCGCATGCTTGTCTCTCACATGTACTGTACATCACATATACACACACACACACACACGCTCTCAAATGTGCAGTATGTCTCGTCTCACCTGCGACGTACATATTCACCCACACTGCTGTTTAAAAACTTCAGTGTGTCCTGCCTGAGCGACTTCCATTATGGGCTAGCAGCCTGTAGCCTTCCCTGTGGAGAGACTTGTGTACAAAGACTATTACAAGCTTAAGTATGTATGAAGCAGCATGTCTGTTATTTGAAACAGCTGGTGCAACACATTGACCATATTTAAAGGATGCGCCTTCAGGAAAGGAACTACATTCATAAAGGAGCAGGTATCTTATAACAACATGATAGCAATTTACTTGATACTGTGTTTATTGTTCTTTAATTTATGATACCTGACGCTAGCTGAGCGGAACCGAGCTCGGTTCACTGCACTAGGTTTGCATAATGCAGTTACAATGCAATAACATTTCTGTAAAAGCAACCTTCGGCTGTATTGTCTGAGAAGTTAAGCTGTTATTGACATTATTAATGGCAGCTAACAGACTTGTGTTAGATAGCGCCACCTTTTGTAATCATACTTTGTGTAGTGTTAGCATAGCCGTGTGGCTAGTGTTACTGAAACTAGTAGCGGTGCCAGGACCGCTGGCCACGAGCTGCTCGTGACACAGACGCACGTTATAGTTGTGGCCATCAGATTGTTGGTGTGTGTACAGCATGTGTTCATATCCATGTGTGTGCATGTCTATTATCATGTCGAGTCGCACTCTGCTTTGTTCTAGTTTTTGACAGCAACCAGTATCTCTTTTACTTTCTTTCTCTGACCTTCCTGAACTTTGTGTGTGTACACATCGGTGGAGGCTCGTGTGCGTACATGTTGAAATGTGTGTACGTCCGGCTATTTATGTACGTGCCTGTGTGTCTGTATGTCATGTGTTGCATTTTCCTTCCCTTGTGGCTGTGTTCGCTGTGTTGTCCACCCATCCTCGCTGACCTCATGCTGCCATTTGCTGCTTTTTCTGATAATTAATTCAGAGTTTGCTGTCACAACCAATTACAGTCTCCTGTGCCCCGTGACTTCTGACCCTTCCTTCTGTCTGCCTGTTACATGCCAAACGGAGTTAAGACCAAGTGACCCAGATTGTACTTTTCTACTGTAAGTGATCCCATACGCTCCCCTAGGAGCTGCTCTCCATACCCCACCTTGCCTCTGTGCTTTTGAAGTATGTTGAAATGAATAAAGGGGACAGATAAGGCTGTACAAATGGAGGGTGCACAAGAATTGTTGGAAACGCTTCAGATGTGTGAAAAGATGTGCATTGCATCACCTTTTAATCTCAACAAGGTCTTTTGTCCCTTGTCTCTCACATGACCCAGGGGCATCTCAATCAATAGTGCTCCTATTGTTTTCTGTACTCTATCCGTATATACTTCCAAACTATAGCAGTCTGAGTTTTAGCCTTGTAGCTGAATGAAGAATGAGTAAGGGTGACAGTTAACGCCAGCATACACAACATTCTCATTTCTGTTTGTTATGCCTGTTTTCCTTCCATGTCTTATCATCTTCAGTTTTTGCACCTATGCATGTTTATGTGAGGCATCTTTCCGACAGTTCTTGAGCACATCTGTACTAGCAGCAACCGTACAGCTCTATATGTGTCCCTTTCTTCTTCCCCATACCAGTGACCTTGTGCGTCAGCCGTATCATATAGAACACATACATCATACAGCAGGAGATTTAAGAGCACCCTTACAGAGGAACAGAAAGGAGATTAGTGTGTGTAGAGTGCAGGAGATCTGTGCATGAGGAGATAAGGATTAATAGAGACATTCTCATTTTCTTTCTATATGCATTACCTGTACTGTATATATCTGCTCATGTAAACACATACTGGTTGGAAATGTTGCAAGTTGTGTGCAAGGATTCCAGTGGAGAAGCAGAGAACATTGTGATTGGTTCGTGTACGCTGACAGGACAGATGATGCATGTCAGCAGCTTGTACCCAGTACTGGTGTCATTGCATATGCAGTTTTCCCAGCAGCACCTTGGTTCCCCATATAGTGGTGTGCGTCTCATCTTTGTGCCTCTGATTGTGTGTGCATGTGTTTTATTACCCCTGGCAGACGGATTATACTGGTGTTCAGTTATGTTCTGCTTTTGTCCACACTCTCTTGTGGCTGCGTGGGTGTGTTTGTGTGTGTGTGGGTGTGTATGCATGGATGAGTGCAAAAAGGACTACTGACTACATAATGTGTTTGAAACGCTTCAGCTGCCCTAATCAAACATTGTTTACATGCATCAGAAAATATTTGTTTGCTCTCAGCTCCAGACACGGGGCTCATGTAATGTTCCTGTGCAACAATTTAATTTTAACTCATACCGTACATATACTTATATTAAGATTATTACTGGGATTTATCAGTATGTTAAAATGTTCATAGGCAAGAAAATAATTCATGGGACTACTTTTAAACTTGTACACAAATTCTTATTTGCTATTGTAATTAAGCCATAATGTAAGAAAAATACAGCATATTCTAAATGAATTGTAATTTTGCTATGAATGTTTTCTAAATGTTTGATGTAGCGTAATAGGAGAAAAATTGTTTGCTGATTTGGCTGATAATAAATAACTCATGTCATTAATTTTGTCACATTGAATGGGATGTTTTCCAGCACAGGTATAATTTTAGGGATGAGATGTCCTCGGGTGTTGGCAGCTCACCGTCCAGTGACACTTATATAAAGGCCTGATGTCTGTAAACAAGCCTAATATTCTGACTTACAGTTGAGGGGTGTTTTGCATTTTCTAATTTTAAATCACTAGTCAACTGGGTAGAAACTCTTGACTGCCTCTAGGTCCTGCCAGTCTGTTCCGCTCTCACACAGAATCTAAGAAAAGCTGGATGCGTTGCAGCCACTTATTTAAGAGTAAACAACAATATCCCTGTATGTTTACTGTGATATTAGTAAAAGCAATTAGGTGTGGGTGCCCTACAGCAAAATGCCTGTAATGTGGCGTATCATTCAGAACAGGCTCTTATGGTGCCCACACTAGATGCTGTAATGATAATGGTGAAAGAAGTGGCCCATTTCCAGCCTGTGGGCTCTCCCAGCATCCCAGTGAGTTGTAGCTCCTCACTGAAAGACCCAGCTCAACGTCTGTGGCCTCTGGGCATTGCATTAAAAATATATGGCTTTACATAGAGTGTATCATGCCTGCGGTTCATAATGGTAATGGTTGTGCATTACTCTGTGTTATAGAACTAGACATAATCTTATTAAATGTTCCCTTAACTGTTCTTTGTTTTAATAGTTGGCTAGTGAGGAGAGGGAAGGACTTTAAAAGCAACTAAAACTATATTTGACTCTCATGGGCTTTAAAAATGATGATAAAGCTTTCTACCTAATACAAACACACCCTTCAGCCCACAGTGCCGGGCCACCTCACACACCAGTTTGCAGGAATGGAGTGACTACAGACCACTTTGGCAGCAATCAATAGAAGGCCAAACCAATAAAATCACATGTCACATCTGATTAAGAGACATGTCAGCGCTCCATATCCACCACCTGCACACTCATCACAAAGGTCCACATTCTCACTGTAGTTTGGTAACTCATTCCCATAGGTAATTACTCATTTGTCCTAGATATACAGTTACACACAGCACTGATCCCCTGTAGACTAACTGAAAACAACCTTCTGACAGTCAGCGTATAGAATGTTGCACTATAATCCAGGGTGGTTATGGCGGAGCAGCGATCCAGCAGAAGCAAAGCCTCATACTACCAAGTGTGCTACTTAAAAAAAAAGATGCTCCTGAAGATGTTATGCAGGTGTTTGGTGCTAAAACACCAAATGAGGCTATTCTTTTTTTCATGAATTCATTTGTCTGTAAGGTTTCGGAGACTTGTGGAGTCTGTAATAAAGAGAGATGAAGATTTTCGCTCACTCATGGTGGACAAACATGTCACAGAAACACTTCATATGTTCTTTTTGCCTCTAATTTGTCACCCATCTGTACTGCCACTTCTTCGCCCCCTCGCCTGTCATATCCTAATGCTTTATTGTACATCATACAAGTGGGAACAGGCAGACAAACTGACTCGACCCTTGTCTCTTTATAGGAGTTTGTCCATGATGTCCTGGTGTGATTGATGCCCGAGTGCCACATTCCTGAGCAACACTGCTCATACAAAGACTCATTCCTCCAGCTTTTTACAGTGCTTCTTAGTTTTACTGCTGTGCATTACCACTGACTCACAAAAAGATCATTACCATAAAAAATAAATTCTGCTCATGTTGTGACAAGTTGTTTAGAAGAAACAGCCTCTCTCTTACTCTTGTTTATGTTGTGGTGCTAGTGTATAATTTTATGATAACTGTGTTCTCTGGGTGTAGAGTTGTCAGTGCCCTTGTGTGCGCTCATGCTTTCTGCGGTGATTACTGGTCTGTTTGCATGTCTTAGTCTTATTTTGAAAGTAAATTCTGCAGCAGTAATCTCTAGTGGTCCCACAACGGAGCCTCGGGTCTCACCTCTGACTTTTGCAACTGGAGCAATTAGCAGAGTTTTCTTTTGTGTTGCTCTCTTCATTTATGTTTTGGCTTGTGTCCCACAGTAGTCTGTCACTGTTAATGAGCATGTGTATGAGCACACAAAGCTGTGAGGAGACATCATACACCCGCTGCTCTCTTTGCAGTTTTAACGCTCCATTAGATAATTAAGGCGGATGGGGTGTTTTTCTAACATTTCAGATGAGACATTACCATTAATTAGTGTCAAAAGAAAAGAACAGTTTTGCTGAAGCACATAAATACAAAGAAACTATCTCTTTACCTTATCATTGAGGCACTAAATGATCTCCCTCCCTGTTTTTTTTTTTCCATAGGCAGGGGCTGTGTGACTGCAAAGAGGGGAGGCCCATAGAGAAGAGCTCTGTCTGGGCATCATGTGATCTATGCATGTCCTCTCCATGGACTGTAGTGAAAGAGTTCACCTATGTCCCCGTGTCAGGATCCCAACCACTACCACCCCTATCACCACTATCACCTGTCCTGACTGCTTCCATTAGAGTCACCTGTTCTTCACTCAACTGGATTTCTTCTTCATCTTAAAGATAAGGAATGGCCGTGCTACTTTCCAGCCTCCCCAGCACCTCTCACAAATAAGGCCTTTTGGCTTGTTTCACAATACCAAGCAAAGGAAGGATAAAACACTCTACAGACCCCTTTTATTCCTCTGCCGTGTGCCTCTTTTTATCTTTGTTTCCCTGGTAACTCAACCCTCAACACACACACTCACTAAACCGACAGGATTTTTGTCTGGGTTAAATCTACAGCAGCCATTTTAAGGAGACATTTCCAAACCATAAGGAGTTTTGTTCAAAGTCCACCTGGCAGTCTTTTGGAATATCTTCGAATCCGGCGTCCCTATGGGGGATTAAATCATTACAGGAATCCACACTGACTCCTCTTTGGTTGAGACAAGTTGGTACATCTTGTTACGGAGGTTTTTCAGTGCGGCCTGTTTGTGACCGGAGGTGGACTGAGTCACCATGGCGGGGAAGGGCAACCCGGTGCCGGGCCCCCACCTCAACAGCTTCCCCATGCCCACCTACTCCTACTTCTTCCCACACATGTTGGGGAGCCTGTCGCCTCCAGCCCTGCCAGGACTGCCCATCAGTGGGTACAGCACCCCCTCACCAGCCAGTAAGTAAACTCTGACTTGAACCGTTTTGCTGGGTTGTGTTCAGCTATGAAGTGGTCTGCACTCTGACTATTGTACAGCTGGTTGGTTGTGACAGGTAGTTAGGAGAAGGTTTACTCTCTTTTGTGTGTGTCCTGGTTTACCTGTGTGGCTGTGGCTCACTGCTTGCTGTATGTTCCCCTGCTGTATGTATGTATATATGTGTGAGTGCGTGCACGTATTGTCATGCCTGGTAGTCTCTTGGTAG